ACTATCGCAGAGGGCTTGGGGCTCAAGGGCAACCTCAAGCATATGGAGCGACGCTACGCCTGGCTGCAGCAGATGGTGAAGCGCGGGAAGATTGCTCTGCAGTACATCCCGACCTCCGAGCAGCCGGCAGATTTTCTGACGAAGGCACTGCATTTTCCGGCTTTCAACCGGTGCTCCGTCGCAATCGGCCAAGTGCGTCTGGCCGACGTGGGCGACGGGGATGACGAGGTGCAGCAGTAGGTGCCGTGCCCTTTCTGCACGGCTGGTGCGGTGATCTACGTGCTATGTGTTGGGTGCACGTAGAAGGAATTTTCTCCTTGTATTCTATCCCTCTGGGTTCTGGGTGGACCTTGTGTGTGTGTGCCCAAGCGTGAGCTGGGCAGGGGAGTGTCGAAGAGGAAGGCCCCGCCCTCGCTTGGGCGCAGCTGATCTCGCCGTCGACGAGAAGTTCGCGACGGATTGGTCGACGAAATGGGCTTCTGCAGTTCGACGGAAGTTGCGGTCGAGCAGGCTCTGCTCGACAGAATCTGGTCGACGAGCTCTGCGCGACGAGCTCTGGTCGACGATCTATGCGCGACGAGCTCCCGTCGAAGAGCGCTGGTCGAGGAACACTGGTCGAAAAGTTCGGGTCGAGGAGCTCTGCTCGGCGAACGCTGTTCGACCGAGCGATGTCGATCTGATCGACCGAAGTTGCAGAGTTGTGCGAAACTCTGCGGAGGCGTGCGAACTTTCGCCCAGGAGGTTTTGGCGAAGTTCTACCTGCGGAACGGCATCACGTGGTCGACGGTGCGCACCTGGCGAAACCGACGACACGTTTTCTACCTCGCACCTGCGCAATGTGCCTGACGGTGAAACCGCCAACCTGCACCTACTTGGTAGGTGCGCACATCTGCGCAGATAGACAACCTGCGACTGCAGAAAGTTACCTGCGACTGCAGATAATCATCTGCGACTGCAGTGCTGGCAGACCGCGCGCAGTGCAACGTTGACAGATTACTCTGCTGTAGCGTTGGCAAGCCGCTCTTCTGCTGCGCTGGCAGATTTCGCCCTTGCTAGGTGTTGCATGCCTTTCTAGTCCTTTTGTTCTGCATGCCTCAATTGTACTATCAACTTTTCATAGCAAGTTGTTCTTTCAACTTTCCTTAGTGGAATTCTTGCCCAACCTCATTGTGAACACAAGCAAGCAGTAAGAACGCTAGTGCAAGCTACGATCACTCGCACAACCCCGTGCCCTCCTCCGTAGTCCACTCCCGTTGTGTAGTGACTCTACGCACTCTAATGCCATCTTAAAATGGGCTAGGAACAAGTGTCGAGAGAAATGTGTTGTACCCTTAAGAGGGCAACTCACTGTAGCCTAGAACAACTAACAATATCTAGAAGATATGAACATTTGACACTAGCTAGCCTCTGCTATGTCAATGCTGTGTTCATTGTTTGCTTAGTAGTTGTAATCACTTCCGCGTTATTGCATTCTGCGCTCTTCTTTCGTAGAACTCATAACAGAGGCCTTGCGCCACGTACAGATGATGCCCACCCCATGCACGCGAATTTGCTCTGCACCGGATGGAAACGCTGCACCCGAGGTTTTTTCCCCAGCCTGTTGCACCCACGGTACAAGCGCGTCGCGTGGTTATGAACCAATTGTAACGAACAGACCGAAGTCAAACTGAAGAGATTGAAGTCAAAATGTCAACGTATAAGGTTACAGATCCTTTATATAAGCACCTGCGAATCCTTTTTAGCTAGCTGCGAATTGACTAAACTTATGCGAAATGCACGATACAGCTTATACGCCCCCTTCACAAGGCAACCGGGAGGGGCTCAATCAGGCATCATGTGTACACCAAAAGCCTCCGTGAAAGGTTGTGGTTCAGTCCGAAAATTCAACGCGTCAGTGGTTACCATCAGCCTCACATATTTCGTCCAACTTCCGTCAGTTCCTTCCTCCACTGGAGACCAACTCTGTCTGCTTGTGCTGTACAGTACAACGGGGGTCTGCTCGTCAGCATGACGCTTGGGGTTACGAGATTCGCGAGGTTGGTTTGACTTGAGTTCACGAACCGTTCCCTGAACAATATTCACCGTTCCCTGAACAATATTCACCGTTCCCTGAAAAATATTCTGTCACGAACCGCTTTGGAGGGCTCTGGAACTTCCCGCCACAATTCGCCTTGTTGTCGTCTGCATGACGTTGCTTTCCCTCCAAAATGTGGCCCGCCTTCGGACCCCTCAACCTCTACCAACCAGGGAACCAAGCGAAAAAAGGGAAAGCATGTTTTAGCAGGGAACCAAGCCGAAAACCACCACACTGCACTGCCGACATTCTTAGGCCATGAAACCCCTCCTCCTTGACTCGACATAACCAAGGCCACCACCGCAACTGCCATCAACTGCCTCACACACCTCCCAACGCAACCTCGACAACACCAGCCATCTCAAAAGACGCGAGCAGGTTCTCTTGGTTTCATCGCAACCCAATTCCAGCTATCCAAGGCGCACCAGACCCTTATCACCCAGTGACTCAGCCAGGCTTCTCTGGGACCACAAAGCCGTCTCTTACCCAATTGCGACCGACAGTCTCGCCACGCCATGCATGCGTGTCTCGATTCCCCGTGCGCAATGAACGTCACCCGCCCAACATCGTATGCCAGCACTCATCCTCCTCCCAGCAGCGACATCCACTCTGCCATCGATTGCTCCTCGCCAGGTTCGTTCTCAAGCTCCTCGCCACCACCGCTCTCGCTGCCAGCCATCGCCTCTGCGCTTCCTCTGCATGCTCGCCCACCCCTCATCCCATGCAGCTTCACCGGAGGTGGAGTCTCGATGTGCCTTTTATCGATTCGTGCGCGCGCTTGTCATCTCACCTTTTAGGACGCCTTGCTGTTTCAAGTAGTTTAACCTGATCAAGTCTTTCACTCGCCACTGTTTCCTTATCCTCGTGCATCCGCGCACTCCAGAACGTGAATCAGAGTCGTGCTGCCAGCGCTCCCAAGCTCTTCCAGGCTCATCGCTCATTGCTGCGATTGGACCCACCGGTCAGCATCGCACCACCATCGTGAACTCCTCTCAGGTACCTCACCCCTCCCCCATTTCTTTCTTCTTGTGATGGGTCGAATCGCCGCGTCGGTTTACGCTTCTGTCGTTCGCTTGTTTCAATTTCTCGTGTTGCCTTCTCCCTCTTGCCATCCCTCGCTGTGTCCGTCAGGCCATGTCGCCCGCCGTAGAAACACGTGCTACCGCATCCTCTGTGGACTCTCCCGCCACTCACCTCTCGCCGAATCCCGTCCCTTCGTCGTGCGCTGACTCGTACCGCCGCCCGCGTCACTTCCTGAAACGCTCCGTTCGCTCCCCGTTGCCTTCCTCGCCGTCGCCATCGTCCGCCAAGCGCGCGTGCAAGCGGCGGCTGTTCCTCGAGTTGGACGAGGCGCCTCGGCGCGATGGAAACGAGTGTTCCGCTTCCTTCGCCGGCGATGACGCGGAGGTAGCGACGCCTCTGTTCCGCGAGGAGTACTCACGCCACCTCACGCTCTTACGCCCGCTGCCGTCGCCTTTGCACCTGGGCCTCTCGTGCACGGACGTCACAGGCCACGACGCCTCCACAAAGCTGTACGACGGCGAGCGCGACGGCGCATCGTCTCCATGCTCGTCTGTGGCGGACGGCGAGTGCGGGCAAATTCCCACACCAGGGCGCGTAGAGGGCGCGCTGAGCAGCCTCTGGGAAGCAGGTACAACCCACTGAACCTTACGCGATTCCCTGTGCATGTCAGAACCTCTTTGAACGTTGGATGCCAAGCGTTCGTTTGTTCTGATATATTCTTCTCTTGTCACCTGTATGTGTGTCTCCGCCGCAGATGTCACCACACCTCCTGCCTCACCTCGCCCCGAAGCGCCCCCTGTCTGCCCCGGTGCGCCTGTGAAGCCCCGCCCACTTGCAATCACATGCCACATGCCCTCTGCTGCCCTGCACCGCATCATGCGGCCCCTCTTCCTCTGACTTGACCTCTGGCGTACGAATCTCCACACACGCCCTGCTCACCTTCACGTGGGTGCTGCTGGCGTCTAACAGCCTGCTGACAGGCATGCAATTGCCCGCTCAACGGATGAAACATAGGAGTGCTGCTCCCAAGCCACATGCACTAGTAAAGCTGTCCGTGACTTGCTAATGGCCACGGGCACATGTGGTGACAGGTAATTGAAAGTCGCCCAGTAGCGCTTTCTGTAGCTCTTGACTTGTGGCAGCAGCAATATCTGGAAACTGTCTCCTGTGTATTAGGACTGTAAGTGTACATATACTACTACTGTAATCTACCATTGCCATGAACCTGGTACCGTCATCGCCCGGATATAAGACATATATGTCTTATCTCGTACACGGGCAAAAATGCTTGAGTTATCTTGTAAACGGGATGGTTTAGGGTGTCTTATAAGTCTTATAAATGGAAACTTTTTAAACTACTTAGAAATATTTTCCGTACTTCTTGAAAAAGAGTTTCTCATAATGAGTGTGGATGTTGCGAAGGTGCCACTTCGACAACCTCTGCCCGGGACGCCACGTTATGGAGAACACCTGCAGGGGCAAATTTGGTAGGTCCTGGGTCAGCGCGTGGAAGAATTCGCGCTTCGCAAGGGTAAAAATGTACGCGGTATTTCAACTTTCGCTATAATTTATTGAAGTTTCGATTATAAGACATATATGTCTTATCTCGTACACACAAATATGTGTTTTATAATGAGGCTAGCCTGTTTATAAGAGACACCCGTATAGTAGACAACCCCTGTCTACTATTCAACACTGTCTTATATCCGGGTGAAGACGGTACTAACTTGGTATTTAGCCTACCGTAGTACATATATCCCAACCTAGAGGTGCTGTTTGTATGTTCCTGGAAATACCGGTGAGGCATTTCAGTATTCTGTACCTAAAGTTCTCCTACACCCTCAGGTAGTTCATGCACGCACAATTTGTCATCCTTTGTACTGAAGTTGTCATCACAGGATGCTCAAGTCGCTGCTTGTGCCACCCCGCCACCCTCCTTGGCGGGCGTGGCACGCCAGGCGGCGGCGAGGAGGCTGCCGCAGAGGGAGTGCATGACGGAGGAGACGGCACAGGGCGCTGCCACACGCGGGTCGGGGAAGTGCTGCATGGCCAGCACCACCCCCAGCACCGAGTTCTGCCGTCCGTGGTGCACACACGGGGGAGAGGGGGAAGGGGGGGAAGAGGAAGGAGCAATGCAGGAGCAAGGGATGGACCGGGTTACAATGCAACATGCAAAAAGGACCGTGAACATCTCACTTCAACTGGAACATAGCCACGGACCACCGTCAACCCTGAGCGTCCCCCCCAGCATGCACAATGACGCACGCACGCACCTGCATGCCCACTTCAATGGATATGGTGCGGCTGGAAGACTCATCGAGGCGCAGCACAGCCCGCGGCAGCAGGTAGCCGAGGGCGAAGCCGAGCCCGTGCAGTGCGAGCACGCAGAGCAGCAGCGGCAGCGCAGCGCCACGGATGGTGGCGGCGGAGCCGGAGATGGCCCCCGCCACGATGAGCGTCACTGTCAGCACCGCCAGCACAGGCGAGAAGAGCGCCAGGTGGCGCGCCACTGTGGGAAAGAGACGTGCGAGCAGGCAGCCCGTGAACACAGGCAGCATCACCACCTGGGAGGGATGAGGAGACGAGGGAGATGGGAGGGGGATACGGAGGGAGATAACAATGGAAGAAGGGCATAGAAAGCGGCAAGAGCATATGCTCTATAAACTGTTTGCTTTGCACCCACAGCTCACAACCCATATATTGCCATCCCCATTTCATTTGCCCATTCTGGAGTTGGCAGCGGCCTTGCCTCCACTGGTTCCACGCTCTCGATTGTCCCTTGCCTTCTTCTCCGTTGACTTCGCTTGGTTCTAATTCTTCTTCTAACAGAACCATGTGCTTATGCCTTACAGTGTATTCAGGTGACAGAAGTGGGGCTAATCTATATGATGCAGGGGGGGCGGAATGGAGTGGAGAGGGGTGGAGAGTACCTGCAGGGTGGACATGAAGAGAGCAGCTCCATTGACGGGCACGAAGCGACCAGCCAGCAGAGAGGTGAGCAGAGGCGTCATCACCTGGGGAAATTGGGGGTCAGAAGAGGCAGCGGGGTGGGAGGCCAAGTAAGGAGCCTGTTGGCTAATAGGAAAGACAAGATGAACAAGTGATGCAACAAACAGCCATGCTTTAGTGGCTGAAGCCACTCGAGTCACTTGCATACCACGGCTAGCAGAGTGCTGAATGTGGTCATGAGAACAGAGAGAGCCACGTTGCCCCTGTTGCCACAGCGAGGGACGATGAGAATTGAGGAGGGAAGAGGGATATTGGAAAAGTAAGAGAAGATCTTGTGCCCAGCATGAAACAGTTGGGTGGGGAGCAGCAGGCGAAGGGGAAAGCCAGTGAGAGGATATGGTGGAACGGAAGCATGGGGATGAGGGTCGTTGACACGAAGCAGTGATGCGGTGGCAGCATTCAGCAGTGGCAAATGACTGACCGCGCAAGGAAGGTGACGATGTTGCTGGCAGTGCCTGGTGGAGGGCAACAGTGCACACAGTGGGGCATGGGCACGAGAACACACACATACACAGATACACACATGGGTACAGACATAGACACACCGTCAGATATGCGTGCGCACGCACACATGCACACACAGATCTCCATGTATACAGATCGATGCACTTGAATATTCATATAATCAGATGCATTATTGGTGAATAAAAACACTGCGAGAATATCTGTGAATGCAGGAGGAGATGGTCCCAAGATGGTGATAATAAATTGCACAAAGCAACTGTGGAAGGAGGAGAGAGAGGGCAGGGACGCAAAAGTTGTGAAGGGGCACAGCACCCGATGCATGCATGAGTGATGGGGCATGCGTGGCAGGGGCGGTGGGAGCACTGACCGCCGGGGCAGCAGGCTACGAGAACAAGGCCAGTGGCGAAGGCAGAGAGGTGCGGCGGCAGACAGCGAGCGATGAGCGCCCCCAGACATGGCATCACCTGGCCCACACACACGGGCAGGCATGCGGACGCCACGGGGGTGGGTGGATGAGGGCGTGGGCAACGAACCAATTTGTGGGCACCGGCAGGAGGAGGAGATTTGAAAGGGTAGAGCATGGCATGGAGGCAGCAGTGCATTGGTACAGCATCCTTGCAGTGCGCACACAGGTGGAGCGTGGCACTCTGCCCATGTCATGGCGCCATGGCCTCGCCCCACCGGGAAGAGCGCAGCATGCGTGCGGTGTGGGAGGAGGCGGCTCACCGTGTACTGCAGCAGCACGCCCGCCAGCAGCTCCCGTGGCATCAGCACGGCGCGCCTGAAGTCGTCCACACTGATCGTCAGCCCCATGCCTGGCGCATGGCGCATGGCGCATAGGCACGAGGCATGGGGCATGGGCATGCGTCAGGGAAGGAGAGAAACATGAACAGCAAGAGGGGTTTCATTCGAAGTTGGGGGTTAAGGAAAGCAGGGAGGGACCCTAATCTTGGGGCAGCACACGCTGATGGAACGTGGAGTGACATGCCATTCTCACACTTTCATCGCTCGCCATTCCTTTCTCGCCCCTCTTGTCATACCCTGCCGTCCACTCACTCAGCATTGTGAGCGCAAGCCCGCCCACTACAAAGCGGCTGCCCTGGAAAACGACAAAATGTGCCGGCCATCGGAGGGCGGCAGCACACGCGAGTGCGACCCACAGGGGGAAGAGCGTCACGAGAGTGGACACCGCGCTGTTCGCCTCCGCGGGCTCCTCCGCGCGCTGTGCCTCCGCCACCTGCGCCGTCGTCTCCGCCCTTTCCGCGCCAACGGGCGGCTGTGCGGAAGCTCGATCATCTGCCTGCGCCCTTCCAGTGGAGTCGTCGGCTTGAGCGCGGAGCTTCCGCCATTCCCTCCTCTCCCGCCTCAAGCGGTTCCGCCAACGGTTATCCGCGCTCGCGCTCGCGTGGAGCGAGATCGCATCTGGCGGGCGAAAGAGAGCATTTGCGCGGAGTGATGTTGGCAAGGGGCATGCTGCAATGCGGAAGCGCGGGCGGACGGTTGCCCCGTGGGACGACGTGGGGAGTGGCGCAGGCGAATGCACTAACGTGTGCGGCGCGGAGGCTGGCATCATGGACGGACGATGGCTGAAAAGAGAGTCTCAAAAACAGCTAATCTCCTGACGCATTACAATTGGATCATTGTTGCGGGATGCAATGTAGAGAGTAAACGAGGATTGCACAAAGGAGTACAAATGTGAGCTAACATTTATAGCGAAACAAGCAAACGATAACGAAACTGCGACAGTTCAACATTGTAACCAGAAGCGCATCAGTTCGATTCCCACGCAGGGATCGAAAGTGCACGTCAGAATTTGGGCGAGATGTATTCTCGGCGAATTCAGGATTTATTTCGTATAATTGGGGACTGTAGCGATGAAGACGCGTTGTAAGGAATTTTCTCGCTATTGTTGCGATCAGAAGTTGATCGTGCCTAGTATCACCTTAGGAAGGTTCGCACACGACTGAGTAGTGGTGGTGGGCCCGTGACCTCAGTAGCAGAGTGAATATAAAATGCTTGAGATAATAAAAGCTGCAAATACAGCACTATAAATAAGAGTACAAGGGAATACCAATTGACCTAGCTAGCCATGTACTCTAAGGGGTACATTCCCTTATTACAGCGAAATCCAACCGTGCGACTGCAGACAGTCACAAAACTGTTCGGGCAGAATCCTCGCCACTGCTGCTGCCTGATGCTGTCTGCCCGACGGTCCAGATGCTTTCGTAACCGTGCGACCCTTCGCGTCACTTCCGCCCTTTCGTCTTCAACCTTGGTAGTGCGTGTTTCGCTTGCTGCGGTGAGGAGTGCACAGTAATGTTTCAAGAATTACCATTCGTAACACCCCCCTTCACTCCTGGCCGTAGCGAGTCTTGACCCGCTTGACTACTCCGCTGAGTTCGGAGCAGTGTTGGTACTGCTGACGTGACAGCTTCTTCGTGAGGAAGTCAGCGGCCATGTCACCCTTCGGGCAGTAGGTTAGGTCAACCTTGCCCTTGTCAACTTCGTCCTTGACGAAGAAGTACCGCAGCGCGATGTGTTTGGTGCGGTTGACGAAACCTGGCTTGTTCGCGATCCTGATCGCGCTCTGATTGTCGCAGTGCAGGCGAAAGTTCGCCGAGGCTGGAATTTTCGCCTCCTGCAGCAGCTCCTGAAGGTAGAGGCCTTCGCGAACGGCTGCTGTTGCTGCGATGAATTCAGCCTCCGCTGATGACATGGCAACCAGCTCCTGCTTCTGTGAATTCCAGGAGATGGGGCCGCTGGGCTCGAGGCGGAAAAGGAAGCCTATCCTGGACCGTTGATTGTCGGGGTCGGCGGCGTGATCGGCGTCCACGTAGCCGATGAGGACGAGGTTGGGATGGTGGAGTAGCAGAGCCCAACATTGGGCGTGGAGATGAAGAACTGAAGTGCCCGCTGGAGATCTAGCAGATTCTCAGCCGTTGGTCTGCGAGAGTACTGAGCCAACTGGCTCGCGATGTAGGAGAGGTCGGGCCTGCAGGTAACAGATGCTAAGAGCAGACATTCCAACTTCTGCTGGTAGGTGTGAAGCCCATCAGGGGACAGGGCTTTGTTGTCAGGCTTGTGGTTGGGTCCTGGAGTGCGGTAAGGGGTGGAGAGTGGTGCAGGCGCAATGTTGAAGCTCTTGCTAAGCTCCTCTGCATACTTGGGTGCTGAGAGATGAATGGCTTCCGGCGAGTAGTTGATGTTGAGCCCGAGAAACTGCTTCACGTCATGATTGCAGGTGATGTCGACGCGCCCTGCGAGGTTTTTCTCGAATTGCTCAAGCAATTCGTTGCTTGACCCTGTGTAGAGGAGGTCGTCGACGTAGACTGTGAGTAGGATGTATTCGCCGCGGAAATCGCGGCGATACATCCCAGGATCGTGAGGCAACTGCTTGAACCCGATTTCGAGCAGGATGTTGTGCAGGTACTGCTGCCAGAGCCGTGGTGCCTGTTTGATCCCGTAAAGGGATTTTCGCAGCTGGCAGACACGTGAATCTCCTTCGCCGTATGCGTGCGGCTGCTCCACGTAGATCACTGCATCTACTAGCGCGTACAGGAACGCGTTCTTCACATCGATTTGTCGAAGCGGGAGGTGTCGTGCTGCAGCGATGGCGAGGAGAATCCTTACGGAGGTGTGGCGGCTGACCGGTGCAAATGTCTGGTCGAAGTCAATGCCGTGCCTCTGATCGTAGCCGCGCACTACCCAGCGCGCCTTGAATCGCTCGATCGTGCCGTTAGCTGCGGTCTTCACACGGAAGACCCACTTCCCGGAGAGGATCCTCCTCCCCTTGATCGCCGCTCGATCGACGAGCACCCAGGTGTCACGGGATTCAAGTGCCTTGATTTCCGTATCCATTGCTTCCCGCCATTCCTTGCTGTGAGGTCCTGTTAGTGCTTGACGCGGGTTTTTCGGCTCGATGACACGTGGCGCCGTTGAGGTGGCAGCGTGGAGCCCGAGGAGTTGGAGTTCGGTGACGGTGCTGTCGTGGCGGTGCTGTGGGGTGACTTCCTGCACGTCGTCGTCATCGCTTTCAGGATCAGGAGGTGCTGGTGGTGCTGCGCCTCCGCCGTTTCCGTCTCAGCTTCTGCTTCCGCCTCCTGCGCCTGCTCCTCCTCCAGGAGAATCGTCGTCGTCGTCATCGTCGTTGTTGCGATCACCTCTCGTGAACTCGCCTCTGGGGTCCTGCTCCAGAATTGCTGCTGCGGCTTCGTCCTCAGGTGAGGCGTAGCTGTGGCCGTCGTTGGCGTAGACGCGGTTCGCGTTCGCCTGCTCGTCCTCACGGAATTGTCGAAGGAAGAGCCGCTCGTAGAAGATCACATCACGCGCGTTCTTGATTTTCTGGCTCGAGAGGTCCAGAATGAGCCATGCCTTGTGCTCGTGGCTGATGCCGAGGTGGATTCCCCAGCGCGCGCGGCTTGCAAACTTCCCGATAGTTGATGTCGGCGGCCGATACTGCACCATGCATCCCCACACGTGGAGCATGGATCTATCGCCCTTCCTCCCCGTCCACTTCACATGCGGTGAGGAGTTGCCGGAGATGGTGGTGGTTGAAAGCAGATTGTGCACCCGCACGGCGTGGTGCATTGCGTAGGTCCAGTAAGTCGGCGGAAGTTTCGACTGCCTCATCAACGCCCGCACCTTCGTCATGAGGGTGCGATTCGTGCGCTCGGCTACGCCCTGCTGCTGGTGTGCGTAGGGGAGAGAAATGTGGTGCTCGATCCCCTTCTGCGCGAGGTAATCCTGCAGCTCCTTACTCCTGAACTCCGCCGCGCCGTCAGACTGCCAGATCTTCAACTTCTCCCCAGATTGCCTATGCGCGTGCGCCAACCACATGCGGAATGCTTCGTATGCTCTGCTGCGTGCTTCCACGTTTACGACCCACACGTAGCGTGTTCCGGCGTCGACGAAGGTGAGCGTGTAGAGTTCGTCGTTGATGGCGCAGTGTCCCACGTTGAGGAAGTCGATGTACACCTTCTCCAGTTTGGTGTAACGGTTGGTTCCGGGCTCTATCAGGGGGAATGGCTGGTGGCTCAGTGCGGCTTCGGGGCAGACGGTGCAGTTGCGCGGATGTGTCGCGCCCCTTAATTCGGTGCCATCAGGGCGCAGGAGTGCGCCAGGCGCGAATACGCCGGCCTCGTTGCAGTTCTTCAGGGTCACGCGCGAGGGGTGACCTAGGCGCTGGTGCCAGATGGCATCGTCAGCGCGGAATCCGGAGGTGCGCATGTAGCGCGCGAGTGCTTCTGCGGGATCCTCGTCAGGTGCTTGAGTAGGTGTCGCCGCTGCTTCTTCTGCTTCTTCTTCTTCGTTCGCCGTCGTTAACATTAGCGCGAGGAATTCCTTGTCAAGAATAATGGAGAGGGGAATATTGGTTCCAGGGATGGTTCCCGGGAAGAAGGTTGGTTCTCGCGGTTCGGGGGCAGGCCCGTAGACGGTGCGTCGCGGAGTTGACGGCTCGTTCCCCCAGTCGATGGTGTCCCAAGGGTCAGTTCCTGGCGGGATGTCAGGTGGGGGCAATGCGGGTGCAGGGCGGCGCGGAGGACGACCAAGAGGAACAACAGGAGGTTCGGCCTCAATGGCTTCCTCAATTTATTCTCCTTCCCCCCTTTGGTCCTCGCGGAAGGCTCCCCAGCCACTCGTCTCGCCGCCAGATGCGGCGCCCCATCCGCCGGTGTTGCCACCGGTGTCTGCTCCCCAGCCGCCAGTGGTGCCGCCAGTTGCGGCTCCCCATCCGCCGGTATCGCCGCCAGTGTCGCTCGTGCCCCATCCGCCAGCGCTTCCCCACCCCCCTTCATTGGAGGCGCTCTCTTCTTCGCTCCATCCGCTCCAGGCGAAGGTTCCGCGTGACTCCGCAAGGCTCCGGTGGCGAAGTTCTTCCGCTTCGCGGCGCGCCAGTTCATCTTCGTGTGCTACGATGAGCTTCTTCGTAGAGTCGCGCTGATGAGTTTCCTTCCGCATCGAAGGTCCCGACGCCAACGCCACGCAACATTCCGTGAAGATGTCGTGATGCAGGTCCTGGGAGAGGAGCTTCCTCCGTTCCGAAAACGATTCGTGTGGCTGTCTCGAGCTCCAGGTGAGACAACCCTTCTTCAGGCGGTGCTTCCCGCTCTGCTTCGGCGATGGCGGCAAGGCCACGGCCGGCGATCGCGCTCGTCGAGGCTGTGGGCGTATGGCAATCTCTACAGATGCCGTCGGGGTCGGGGTCATGCAGCGCCGTTTCGCGCGCGTGTGGGTGATGAGGCACCCATGGGCGCCCGTCAGGATGCTTCCAATCACGGTGGTGGATGTGTTCGAAGCGCAGGGGGACGAGATCGATCAGTTCCTGCGAGTCGTCGCTGCAGTCGGGAATGCCGTAATCAAGAACGTAGACTCCGTTCTCGGCGTGGGCTCGTCTGATTTGCTTTCGCGTCTTGTTCGGCATCGTGAAGTGGAGCAGGATGTCGCGCGTCTCGGATTCGGTGCTAAGGACAACTCCGCAATCCATGAGTTGCGCCGCCAAGAGGAGATTGAAGCGCAGGTTCTGCACGATCAACACATCATTCAGTGTGATGTGCGTTCTGCTCCCATGTGCCT